ATGTATAGTTACAATCTTAAAACAAAGCAGCAATCGAGCGTATGGGTCTTATGTAATGAGCCGAAGCCAACCAAAGTGGCGCGCGTGCAAAGTGCCTCTAAGCGGATGATTGCTTCTTTTTTTAATATCCGCTCACGCGATTCATGCGTCTCTGGAAGCATACCACACCTAGAGGTGCCGGTGATGATTTTATACCAATTTATCGGATATCGAAGTTATAACAGGTAAAATAACTAATACTAATTGCTATTTCGGTAACTACTCTAGCAAACCATAAAGTTTTTAATGCCTGGGTCTGTCATTTAAAAAAAATAAACAACTTCAAAAATACGTCACGACAATCGTGTGTCTTATTGTTTAGACTGGTGATGTCGGTGTTTATTTATTGAAAACGTACCGTAAGTTGCGTTTTTTAAGTTTACCCTGAATATAAATGTTTATAAACTATACTTTAAGTAGTAATTTCATGGTAAACGTTAGAACCACTCAAACGGAATATTATCATATTTACCCAAGTACACCAAAAATTTCATTAGTGCTTTTTAAGTGCAGGATTTGCGGTGTATTACTGCATTTTATTTGAGATGGTTTTATTGTAGTACGGAGGGTATTTATTTAGCAATGCAGAATAATAATTTTTATTTTTTAAAACTTGTATTTAAACTGAATCCTTTTCTAATTTGCGATACCAAATAGCCGCCATTTTGCGGTAGGATGAGCGCATCGCGTGAGCGGATAAAACTGGAAACGTGGCTACTCAGGCTTTGGAGAGTCGTTGTACCGTGAATAGTGATTGGTACACGACCACTTGTTTGCCGGAAGTTATTGACAAACTCCGTAGAAATAACCGTAAACGCCGTATCATCTTGCATCACGGTATTGCAACACGGCCAGATAGACAAATGAATTTTTCAAGGTGAACAACGTTGACCCAATGAGACATCCCGCGTACGTACAGTCCCGACCTGATATCTTGTGACTTTTATTTATTTCCAGAAATTAAGAACCAGTTAGACGGTCAACGATTTTCATTACCTGAAGAGGCTGTCGAAGAGTATGAATAGTACGTTTCAGAGATTGTAACGGTGGAGTGGAATAAATGTTTTCATAATTGGTTCGTTCGTATGAAAAAGTGCATTAACGCTAACCATCGAGTATATAACCAGAAATAGAGGCGAAATGTCATTTAATTTGTTTGAAAACTATTCTGCCATGTCATTACTGTGACAACTGTGGTCCGATTAGCTAGCCCGAGTTCGAAACAATTGACGGGTGTCATCAAGTGTGTCACTTCAAATTGACCAGTTAACTTGAGCTTTGCTATAATGGACGAAAATTGCAAAATTACACATATAATATTTAATTCCCGATGAAATTTGATTCCGTTTGTTTTGTAATTAGATGTTTTGCTGTTTTTTCCATACCACCAAATAAAACAGCACGGTATTGTTAGTGACATTATTTTTATTCCAATAAATTCAGAATATTTTTTGGAATATACGGAGACGTACACACAGGTCAGTAGTTGGCCTATCTATATTTCAGTGCAAACGAGAGTTGATATTTATAAGACCTGTATCGCTAATGTGTTACCAGGAATATGTAGCCCTTATTTCGTCTCTATTTCTGGTTATATATTCGTTGATGCTAACGGAGATTATTTTGAGAAACAATAAATTGATTTCTGACCATTTATAGTATTTTTTTCTCATTCATTCTGGAAACTTATTGGTCGTCTCACGTAATGTAAAACCGGGATATATGCCGCAGTGGGATAGGTCCTTCGTTTTCAATACACCTAACTTCCCGAAATCGTAACAAAAAATAATTTGTTTAAATATGGTGCGTAGACGTCACACACTTCAGTCCCCCGCAGGCCTTCCTATGGAACAGATGTGTTTTGTATGTACGAGCGTTTATCTCCGCGGCGAACGCGACGAAAGCTTCAAATTTTCAGACGTAAGTATTTACTGTCGCATAACTTTATAAGTAGTAATAAATTTAGTTTTATTTTTATTATATCAATACACTGGTTTATTAAGTATACAGCTAGGTGTTAATAATCGGCCTTTTGTATATAGTTTTGTTAAGCAATAAAAGGGCATCTATTCCTATCGAAAAGGATAGTCGCCTCGATTTTTCGCGGTATAGGTGCCCTTAGGAGCATCTATCCCCCATATATACATTTGTCAGCAAATTTTTGAAATGTTTTTTATATTTAAATGTTTATTAGTTTTTGTTATATTTTTTCTTCTTTTTTTATTGTAGGTGAGGCATGCCACGAAAGTACCAAAGAAAGGAAGGAGTACGCGCTCCAGTACTTTCTTGGACTACAGAACAATTACAGTTAGCTTTCGATGAAATTGACAAAGAAACATAGGGATTAATGAAATATCCCGACAATTTGGGATTCCATCCAGAACATTACGGAGGCGTTATGCCGCCAAAAACAAAAAGCTGTTGACTTTGGGTAAGTAGATAGTTATTAAGAGGCCAAAATGGTAAATTTGCATGAATTTGCAATCTTTTTTCAGGCTAAAATAATCTGTGTCTTGCCCGACAGAGAACCCACAGCCACACCTACCTAGGTATTAATAATAATCGTGTACATGATATTTGATTGCTACCTATTTTTCGTTGATTTGTTTCATTTATGTACTCTTCGTATCTTCGTATCTTATCGTATCTTTTGTTCTAGGAAAACATCCTGTCTTCGATTTTGAAAATGAGAAAAGACTGGTAACGCACATTTTGAAACTTGGAGATGCAGGATTTCCTCCAGATAGACGAGCTATATGTATTTTAGCCTACCATTTTACCGAAAAACTAGAGCTAAAACATAATTTTGACCGTGAAAGCCAAATGGCTGGAAGTGATTGGTTCAAAAGTTTTATTGAGCGAAATCAACAATTGTCTATCAGACAAGCTGAAGGTTTATCATTGGCCAGAGCTAAGGGTCTTGGGGCATCTATCCCGGTTTTACCCTATTAGTATAGTATTATATTATTGCTTGTTATCCTAGATATTTTAAAGAAGAATTATACGTACCTCTAAGTGTATTATCCCAATTGTCCAGGACGTACCAAACCTGGAAAATTGTGTTTAAGAAAATTCACATGTGCACTTAAACAATAGTAAATAATGGTGCATTTAAATGTTTTGACTAAACAGACAATTGTTTAAATAATTTCACAAATGTTTTTTTTTCTTAATTCCTTTTTTCACGCTGACGAAAATTGTAAACAATTGCGAATCATTGAATAAATGAAAAATACAAAACTATTTCTCTTGTAAGTCATTAGTAAAACAAAAAGAAAGACAATACATGCCAGTTTTATTTTAAATAAAGTTGTAAATGCCAAATGCTTTTTTTTTAATTCGTCGTGGCTTATTGAGTTTTTTTACAAGTAAAAAAGTGCATACTTTACCTCCATCTCACCTGATGATCGTTGCATGCACATTTTAATAGTAGGTACCCATTCACTCTCGTCTTGACAAGGTCCAAGTTATAGCGTTCGGCATATAAGTCCGCAGGTAAGGAATTCTACTCCTTTGCCGTATAATTGTGGATGCGAAATACAACCAAGTCTACGTCTAGTCCCCCGACGATGGAATGAGGGAGGAAGAATTAAATCGTGCTATTCCTAATATCCTGTAGAATACTGATAAGCAGGCAACTTTACCGCGGTGTTCAAGGCGTTGCAGCTTTATCTCCTCTACTAAATCCGAGTCACCTCTATGCCTCTCGGCACGTTTTTCTAGTGAATCCAGTGTAGCCAGTTGGTATTTAGCAGAACCATTCCATAAATACTCCTCCATACATGAATGGTAGGCTATACTCCATACATGACCGGCCTTGTGTTTGGTACAGTTGAAGCAACTGTCCCGGTGTGAAGTATCGTCTTCCTTTGGAAAGGATGCTAAGATTCATGGATTCAATGTAACGTCTGACGTTTAGATTGGACGATAGATTCCAAGTAGGTGAAGATGGTCGGTTATGGGTATGGATAAATCACAAAAAGGCGAATTCAGTTCAAAGGGACTCCGTTTTGTGAAGAATACACACGCCTGCGTTTTGAAAGCGTTAAATTTGACAAGATTGGCATAGCCCCAATCGTAATGCCTTAAGTGTCAAATTCAAACGACTAACCATGGGCTCTCGACAAAACTGGATATCTTGTCCACTGACTCTTGCATTAGTCGAGTATCTGTCTACAATTGTGCTGTCATCAGCATATGCGAGATATGGTTTTGGCACAAATTATGTATACATTTAGAGGTGTGCCTTTTTATTTATTTCTTATTTCTCTAGAAAGTCCAGTATGCGTCTTAGAATTCTTTCACGACTTCTTCTTTCTTTATTAACTTTTTCCGCCGTTAATAAGCGTCAAGTGACTTCTTCTTGCACAGGTGATGTATTAATTCACATTCCACTTAGATTTTATATTTTCTTAACCTACAAGTGTCGTGTTTTGATGAAACTACTATTTACAAAGCATATATACCACTTATATCTTGTCGTGTTGTGCTTCCTCCTTGCGCAAATAATAACAAAATAAAACATTTGCCTTTACAAATATATATGATACATCTTAAAACTAAGAACACCACGTACATCATTATTATATATGTTTGTCTGCTACACTCAGTCTATTAGTTTTTATCTCAAATTGTTTACCGTCAAATCTGGTCTATTTACTTTGCAAAACTCATTCTGCATCTCGACAACGTATTGTTTCGAGTAAACAATAGGCAATGTGGCCGACTAGAGGAGGGATTGCGGGATGGGGAGGGTATTTATTTCAAATCGTATTCAAATGTTTCAAAATTTAGTCGTCAGAAAATACAAGTTTGTTTGTGTCTGTATACAAAAAGATTACCTCTTGCCTGTATCTTTGATAACGACGTGCAGACGGTTACGTCTTGCTATCAAGATTGGTGAACAAAAAGCGTTATAGTAATAGATGAAAACAGTCGTCAGAAAAGGTTAATCTATAACAATGGACGTGGAGTTCGTGAGACATCAGTTTGAAGATGGACACGACGGAGTTGTAGTTAAGAATAGTGAGTAGCGTCGATGAGAGTGATTTGAACTTAGTATAGTTGGCTAAAGCGCAAAGAAATTTGCTTTACATGTCTTTACATACATTATGTTAAACGTGAGGGTAGGAAAAGCACTGTGGGCTTTTTTCCTTAGTTGCATGTTTTTTTGTGTATTAAATATGTTTTACTTAAGCAAGTTACCGTTTTCCCTTTAGAATCTTGTTAATGGTGTCTATTTTTAGCACGTTTCTTTATTAAGTTGCTATAATAATCGTACTTACTTTGTTACAAATATTTTGAACGTAATAAACGCTTGATTGAATTACCAATCTTTTGAAAATCACTTTCACGAAATCTATTCCATTATGTTTAATTTGACGTCATTTTATTTACAGAATTTACCATAGGCGTAAGGCATGTTCAGATTCTGTACATGTGGGTGTGCGGCGCAGTGTTCGGCGCCATTCGCGGCAGCACCGGCGTTGTTGTAGTCGCCCTCACAGATAATAACAGAATAAATGATACATACATTCAGGTTCACTTTTGTTACCTTTAGTAATTTTTATGAATTTGAGCTTTATCTCCAGCCAACACGTTTTTAACCAGGGTACATTAAAATGACAACAAAACTAAAGTTACGTATTACGACCAAAGAATTAACCTCTATTTTTAGTTGTTATTTTTCACTTATCCCCGTCACATCTCTTATGAGGCATTGTTGCTGTTGGATATTGTCCTCTTCTAACAAAGAGCATTTCTATTATTGCCACGCCATGAAAACTATTTATGATCATAGCACCGTATAAAGCCTTGTCAGCCCACTCCAATTATGATCGAGCTAAGGGCTAACCACTAAACCCAATGAGAGCTAAGACTCAACAATAGGCACTAACGCATGCTTTTCATATAGATACACCAATGGGATAGAAGAATACAAGGGACAATTTTCTCATCTTTCTTCCTCGGCTATGCGCTGATGCTACTGCCGGCAGAGCTGTTTCTCAAGAAACTTTGCGGCAAGTACGTGTTGACGGCGGCGCTCGTCATCAGCGGAGTATTGTCTATCGCCATGCCGACCATTGTAAACAAGGTTAGAATAATGTTCGGGTTTTATTACAAGAAACTAGTTTTCCGTCGTTCTGTAACAAGTTAAAATTTATTAAGTCAGCTTCTAAAATAATACTAAAAAATTCAGATTGTGTATTATGAATAGGAATGTTTTAGAATGTTCGTGAGTCATTACTAGGTAATGTGAAAAAAAATTATTTACTTAGATATCTCAAAATAATCATACCTTTCATAGTGTTGTAAACCTATTTTATTTTGCTAGAGGACCTTGTACCGGGCAGCTGGTAGAACAATTTGTTTCAAATTAAGTAAGCACAAAATTATGTACTTATTACTTTTTTTGTAGGGCGGCTGGGTAGCGATGTGCAATGCACATCTTTGGATGGGCATGGCACAGGCGTGTTACTCGCCATGTAATCAAGCTCTTTTAGCTAAGTGGCTTCCACCGGATGAAAGAAGTATGTTCAGCTGGTTGGTCAACTCAGGTAAGTAAGTAAGTCAAACTGCCGTTTAGTTTCAATAGTCAATACCTACTCAAGAGATACATATTTAAAGAAAAAAAACATTAAAATTTTCATATCTCGATGCAGAAGTAGGTAACTATACAAATTTATCCGTGGACCTGAGGCCTGATATATTAGTCCACATAGTTGATGTTTTACTTTCACAAAAGTTGCGTTGAAATTTCTATTCCAGGTACAGTCATAGGAGTAGTGGTTTCACTACCAATATCAGGTTTAATCTCTGAATCTCGTCTCGGTTGGGAGCTGATCTTCTACACGCAAGCTATGATGATGCTGTCGATGGCGGCTATTTGGGGATTACTGACATCAAGTTCACCAGAAAGACATCACGCGGTTGGGGATAAAGAGAAGGAGTATATTAGAGAAAATCTGGAGAGATATCGAAAGGTTGGTGTCATAGTCATTAAATATGTATGGAAATGGTTGGAAGGAACCTTAACTTCAACAGTGTATATATCGTAATTTTTTTATAAGACTGTTTTGTATGAAATATCTAAAAAATGTAATCACACTGAACGAAATAAGTAAAATTTTGTAATCAAAGATATTTAATTGCATTCCACTTCTCACCAATCAATATATTGTAAATTTTCTTCTAATATTACAGAAATCTTTGGATGTGCCATGGAGGAGTATATTGAAATCACGGCCTTTTTGGGGTCTCGCTTGCTCACACGCCGCTAGCAACGCTATCTATATTTTTTATCTAACCGAGCTGCCACATTTTTTTAAAATCTTTGGGACATCCTTGAGAGATGTAAGTGGAAACTTTATTTACGAAAATATATGTGACAATGTCTTAATGCGAGTGATACCGCTAATCTCCCTCGGCACTATTAGCGGAACAGCTGGACGTGACATGGCAAAATGACAATAAATCTTAGTCAATTTCCTTGATGTTAAGTATTGTATTGTCTGTTAAGAACTTTGTGCGCAATGAAGAACATTTTGTTATCGTATTTTAATCCTACCATCAGTTATTTTCTTGTAGACTTCGTGGCAATTAATATTCCCATTCTTGGCGCTCTGGTTTTTCCGGATGATGACAGCGCCCACAGTCAACTGGCTCTGCAAGGTTCTGAAAGTCAGTTTTAATGTTCACTTTACATACTTGAGAAAATTCATCAATGTTTTAGGTGAGTTTATTTCTGTTTCTTCATGTCACAGCTGACGAAATAGATTTTGACTTTCGTCAAATTGAGCCGTAAAGTACTTATTAACTCGTATTGAAAACATTTACGGCATGGACAGTATATAGTGATAGATGCTGAATAATGAACGCTTAGCCATGAAGCTCTTGGAGAGTGCGGTTGGTGCGGCCCTTTATACTTTACTTATATCGACACTTCACGATCTGAAAGTAACTTGTCTAGTTCATAGTTACAAGTCCTATTTTACAATATTTTGTATCAGCTTATGGACTCTTTGTCTTTGTGTCTTTGTTTGTTTATTTAAATATGATTAATTAATTTTCTATCGTTTTTAAGGTGCTTGTGGCGTAGTTGCTGGTCTGACAATATTACCAAGTCTAGTTCTTGGTTGGCCGCTCCTGACAATTTTTACGTTTGTTGCCATCATGGGATGTATGGGTTTCCAATTTTCTGGTTTTTTGGTAATTGTTCTTACATGTACTATTATTAAGTTGATAAATATGAAGCAGCATTATTATTCTCCCTATAAGAAACGTGTTGTAGTAATATACAATATTGCGATACTGAAGTGTTTTAATGTCTCAACTTGTTTATACCTTCATCACTTATATTACTGGTGGAGTTTATGCATTGAGGTCTTGAAATGTTATTTACTTGAACGTATTTAATTTATTACATTTGGTAAATCTTAAGTTACACTATCTAAATTATGAATAAAATCTAATATCGGATTAAGTATAAAACTTAGTCAGACTGAAAATTAGTTTTGATTCCGCAGACCTCTTTGAAAGCGAAATATTACCTAACTGAATTTGTATAATATTATTTACATTGTTTTATTACAGGACAACCACAAAGACTTGTCACAGAATTATTCAGAAACTCTTCTGATGATGACAAGCGTATTTGCCAGCGTGCTCGGATCGATCATTCCCGCTTTGTCTGGAGTTATTGTTGCAGACAATATGGTACTAACACCTTGTTTATATAACAATATTCATTCAATTTGTGATGACAAAAGGCATATTTTAAAAGAATAGCAATTATCAAAAACCTTACGATATAATAGATGTGAATAAGAAGTTAAAAGTAACAATAATAGAAAATTAAATTATTTTTAACCAACCATTTGTTCAAATATTAATGAACCTGAAATGAATTAACTGGTGGATGACTTTACCTTATCAGTTAACCATGAACTGATGAGTTGGTTTGTTTGAAAAAACAAATATACAACATTTTGATCCTAAAAGAATGTTTAATTTTCAACGTGTACCAATCACGAAAACCCAAGATCTCGAACTGAAAAAAATATTATTATTTTCCTTATTTAACAGCAATATTGGCATTGATCTATTACAGGAAAGCGCAATCCTGAACCGCTACCGCATTGTATTCCTGATGCTGTCAAGCCTATACGTAGGCTGTAACGTAGTGTATATCGTTTTGGCAACGAGCGACAGGCAACACTGGGATGAAACAAATATGAGAAACAAGTTTGGATACCACAATGCCATGATTGGTATGTATGCTAGTTCGTGGTTTCCACCTAACACATTTTAATCACGACTTATTATATGCCCAGTAGGGTTTCCAGAAACCACGGTTGTCGATTTGATACAAGCTAAAGTTGTCATAACTTTTCGCTGTCAATAACAACTATGACTATTGTCCGTTTCAGACTCCAACTACGTGGAGCTGCAAGACATAGGCAACACGAAGCTAAATCTAAATCAACACGCATGATTGTGATACTGAAATATGACTTAATTGATAATCTACCTGTTTAAAGACTCAGATTTACTATTACGAAAATGTATATAAATATTTTGATAATGGCAAAGCTATGATGTTCTTATTTTTAGTATCCTAAAAATATAAACTAGATGCGTAGTTTGAAACATAAATTTACACCAAACGTCGTTTCGTTTGTGGTAGGGAGCGTGTGGAATTAGGAATATTGGGCGAGAGGGGTATTTGGTTTGGTCTTGTACATTGACTTACAATTATATGGACGTCGGGTCTGCGCTAAAACGTGTCCGAACTTATAGGGCGTTAAAATCATATACAGAGCGTCATTCACGCATTAGTCTTCGTTTGTTCGACTGACAGCGAAGCAAGCAAAATTAGACAGTACTACGATGACATTACAATTTAAATTCAACGTTTTAGCCTTTTCATATTCCTTTATATGTCACTACGTTTAAATAGGTTGACTTGGGACATTTTTTCGTGGTTTTTGTATTAGACTGAGAGATTAGATTTATTTGTAAGTCAATGGTCTTGTACGTATCTTTGTATGTTCACCATTGATTGATGCCCGGTGCAAAGGAACGCTGTAGCCTGTTAAATAAATGGATAATATGTTTTTACATAACTTAAGAATTTTAATGACACAATTTTATTGTTTATTGTATTAATAAAATGGAAGAAACAAAAACGTGATCTATGATGTTTGTCAAAAAAATATTAATTTCAGTGTAGCTTTATAATTAACCTAATAAAATTTTACGTACTATATTGAACCCTAATATTAACTTACGTATATTTACTTGAGAAAAACTAACAAAATTTACGGAAATTACTTTCCATAGAACTTCAGAATATTATTATATATAAATTTGCACAAGATCTGATTTATAAAACAAACCTTGACTTTCAAACGAAGTAGCAGGGGAGGAGTCCCCCAGGGGCCTTTTATGATTTTGAATTATTTCAATTCTATGTTATCTCAGAGTAACCTACACTCGCTTCTTAACAAATAGCGGTAGGAGATAATAAGAAAACAAATACATAACATAATTATGTACCAAATAATTCCTTATCACCTTATGATTTGTCTATTTTACTGAAGAGTACTTCAAACTTGGTGACTTACCTCACAATAATCTGAAAATCATTAAAAAAATGAAAACAATAAAAAAGGAACAACACAATTTTAATTATATATAATTTTAATTAGTTAACTTGAACTCCTTTAATGAGCCTTAAGGACAAAATGGCAAACCTATGTCCTTGTATCCGTTGTTTATATATGTCATTTTGTCCATATGACGGTTGTAAAAAAGAAAATTCAAAAATTAACACACAACATTCGAAAATAGAAAATAATATTTGAGGGCAACTACAAGTTATTGTGGGATAAAGTACATACAACAACAATAGGTACTTTCCCGAAAAACTTATCATTTATATAGAAACACTTGTCGTAAAGAAAAAACTCGTAACGTACAAAAACCCGTGTCTTCAGCGACGACGCTGGGACGGATAAGAGGGGTGAGTTCACGTTATGACAGGTTAGTAAAAGCTACTAGGGTCTTATGATGCAGTAGTCAGTTGCGTGCTAGAGTCCACCAATTTCAAATTATGCCAACTATGTCATTCTATCCATTATATGTCATTTTGTACGTATTTCCCCTATTATTGTTAATTTTCGTAGAGTTTACATAACGTATTATGCCTGTAAAATATTTTAGATTATATTTTATAGCCTCAATACGTATTATTATATTTAATTTATGTTTTTTTAAATTTTATATGTTATTCTTTGACATTTCAGAGTTTTATTTTATTTTGATACTTTAAAAAGTATATTTTTGTTCAAGTTTTTGGGGCTCTTGGGAATATTATAACTTACCAATGACTTTGTTTGGTATAATTTTATATATTTCTTTTTTTAATATTAATGTCTATGTGTGTGTCCATTGCAGTTAAGATATAAAAACTGTAAAAATTAAATAAACAATAACAAAACAAAATACAGATTTGTCAGCCTGGCACATCCTCTTGACTGAAATCCTTACAATGACCGGAAAAAAAAGCTGATGATCTTAAAACTTTGAACCTATGTTCATCATACCTAACTGAAAACCATCCTGAATAAATTAACCTTTACACAGCCTGACACACATACACAGGTACACAGATGAAGGCTTCAAACTTAAAACTCCACTCTTTTTGCGTCGGCGGTTAAAAATGAACGGAAAGAACGTAGTGCTTAGTTTTTTTATTTCACTCCCCTTTGAATGCCCCAGCCCACAGCACACCATCCTCTTATCAAACGCAACCTTATAGGAAATGGTCCCTTTACAAGGGAAAGTTATGATGATGCCGGGTCGTTAATAGGATTCCGTTGTGTAATTATAGTTAGAGCTAAGGCGCGTGCACATTATGTGAACGGATAAATAAATATTCATACCTAAACTTGGTGTTGGCTCGTGGCGTGTTTTGGTGTTGGTGAGTTCTGTCCGCCGTAACGGCATTCATGGATGTATTTAATTTAATCGCCTCCAGGAAAAGTGTTACATTACAAATTACGTTTATGGCTGTTTTTCATGGAACGATTATTGATCTCTTCACTAAAGTCATATTTTTCATACAATAATGTACAGTGACGTTATTATAATAATGGTAGTTTTTTTATACAGACATTTCGAGGCACAGACTCAAAAAAAAGTAAATTAACGAAGTAAATCAACAAACGAGGGAAATAGTTTGATATAAACCAATCTAGATTTTTCTACGTCTGAAAGTCGGCGATTCTTTTTGGTCGTATGCACTGCAGAGCTGAGCAATCGAAACCCGTGTATTTGTAGACCTCATTGCAATTTAGCAACGAGAGTTTTACGTAAAATACAACTATATCTTCCAGGTTACATTTTTCAGTTCTCTAATGTAACAAACTA